TGATGATGGAAGGTCATTAGTTTAGTTTTCGAAGCATTTAATATGACTAACCAGTTTTTTCACTCACAGAATCAGAAAGAGAGTTGAAAAATCCTAGGACAGCAAAAGAGGAAAGAGGGCTTAGATAATTTGACTCTCACAGGACATTTTGAAAACAAGAGATGAAAGAGAATGTGCAAGTTACTTAATGAGTCTAGTGAATGGATGGCAGAGGCATGAAGTTGTGGAGAGCCACGATCGCAAACGTCCTTATGGTGTGCAGTGATTAAAACTCTATGCTCTTGCGGAATCCATAAATCAATTTCTCTTATTACCCCGAGCTATGGCTTAAATAGCATAGTAGAGTAAGAGAAAGAAAATTCTAAATTTACAACCGTGTAGAAAATTATGGCAAGTCAATGGTGGATTGGTTTATTTTTTACGACTTGTCAACCTTTTTTTAAATATAACCTTTAGGCTTAAAATAACAAGGTTATTTTTAAGCCTAAACATATTTGGGGGTTATAACAATTTTTTTGAGATAATATATTATCAGGTTTGGTTTATTTTGTTTTACGGCGTATCAACCTCAATGGGTTATTTAATGCCGACAACATTTTTAAGATAGATTCTTATGAATAGAATATGTATTCTTTGGTTTAGATTAGTTTGGTTTATTTTGTTTTACGGCATATAAACCTCAATGGATTGTTTAATGCCGACAACATTTTTTATTGCTGGTAATATTTTGTTTTGTCAAAAATTTGTTTCTGGTAATATTTTTCCTTCAAAATTGTATTGCTGGTAATAATTTTTTTCAAAAATGTATTGCTGGTAATAGTTAACTATTTGCCCATAGCTGGGACCCTAACAGGTAATACCACCCTGGGTTAGGGTGGATCTGGGAACACCAGCAATGAATATGTGGTTCCACGCTCCTCAAAACTTCCTGATCAGAGGCCTTGCTGCTGGATATAGTTTATCGTCTTACCAAGGACGCGGACGTAATTTAACGTCTTACCCAGGACGACAAATCATCAGGTTATTTAAAGCAAGAAAATAGGTTTAGATTGTAAGAATATTTTTGGAGATAATAAAGATTTAGTGATCCAAGTTTTACTAATTAAACCATAAGGAAGAGATAGATCTTTACCTTTCCTAAGGGTATTGGCGCCTAAGTGAATATAACGAACCCAACGGGAATTGAAACTCCGTTCTGCGATTAACATTTCTCAGACATTATTCATTACATCAAACGCATATCTAATATATCCCCATATTCCGAAGCGATCGCCCATCTATATGCTAATCAAGCTTGAAGTGAACCGGAAATTCAACGTCGTGTGACCGTCAGCCTAAGATCATGTTGTTTTCACGGATTCTCTTGGGACTTTCACAGCATTCATTTCATTTGGAAATGTGTTGGAGCGCACCCACCTTCTCAAGAGAATGGACTGATCTCTCTACGATATAGGTCAGTGCTAGAGAGATCAGGAGAGTTTGGAGATCAGGTGACCATTGCACTTCCGTCTCTCTACCGGAAGACACCGTTGGACTGTAGACTCTTGCTGATTGTTACTACTAACATGCGTTCGTTATTACTAACCACTCTGTTGTTAAATACCTCTTCAAATATACCAGTATTTTCCCCTACATCTCTGTTTATCTTTATTTGAATACACACACGCGGGAACACTCCCAACATCTCAACAAAATGTTTCATAGAATCGTGGGATACACGTTTGCTGAGTCCCTGTTTTGATGTCCAAAGACGCACATAGTTTAATGCTTGTTTCTGCGAGAATCTCCTGCAAATTATGTTCTCGGCTCACCCGTGAGATGTGAGGTATATGACCGTGGAGCTGGCTCTTTGTAGGACGGTGTTTCCAGTATAGTCTTAGAGCATGTTTTTGCTAATGTCAATCCCGTACCAATGTCTTCTTCTTTTCCTATTGTTCACAAAATTCAAAGCCAAAGAGCCACTCAAGGCAGAGTGTTACCGAAAAAGCTTGTTGTAATGGCATAATGAAAGGGAAAAGTGGTGTATATTATGAGGATATGTAGGATAGCTATCGATTGACACTAGATTCGGAGAGGTTTATACTGTCATCTGGAAAGCCTCCTAACGGTAGCTATCTGAGTGGAACTTCCTCTATACAAATAAAATACGCAGTAAATGACTCACAAACTCCTGAAAAGCATTTGATTCTCACTGAGTGCACTACGCTTGCATCAGGTTATGGGTAAACTTTTGAAATACCTATATGGCTTACGGGCATATTACGTTGAGACACCGGTTCGCGTACAATTCCTGAAATTAAGCAACATCGAGCTTAGTCAGTATATAGATGGGTGACCGCTTGGGAATGTCAGGTGTTGTAAGTTTGAAAGTGCGCGTGTGATATAATGGATAATGGCTTGGAATTGTTAATCGGAGATCCGGGTTCTAATTCCCGCAAATACCCTTGGGAAATATATGAACATACCTCTTCTCCTGGATATGTGTTAATTTAGGTACCTCCCCGAGATCGCTAAAAAAGGAGCATAGTATGATGTAAAAGACGCCAAACTTGACGAAAACAAAATTTTATCGTCTAAACGTTTATGTTATTATTAAGAGGAAAGATCAAAGTATTTTGGGGGTATTTTTTTTCATTTTTTAATCGTTCCTAACACGTCCGAAATTTTCGTTAAAAATCTTGTTTTTTGAGTCAGCAAAATTGAACATTTTTTTCCATTTTATAAAAAATTTGAAAATCTCACTTTGAAATTCTTTTAAATATTAATTATCATTTTTTCAAATCTTATTTTAAGAAAATCAGAAATTATAATGTTTATTTGAAAATAAAACAAATCTCGTCATAAAATTGTGCGTCACTTGACAGGTGATGAATGACATATTGACGGATTCCGTGAGGATAATTTGTTCTACGGAAGGAGAAAAGTGAAATAATTTACATTTAAGTGAACAAATTATTTACCTCGTTATTTTTAAGGAAAACTTTCAGCACTCTAATTTTTTTTGTACTTTGCTTTCACCTTTATGTTTACGATGCCTTATAGAAAATATATTATAAAGAAATTAAAATAAGACTGTTAAGAGTGAGATTAAATTTCATATTTCATAAGAAAGATATCTAATTAATTTATAAGTGTCTTTCATATGAAATTTTATCAGAAGTGAACATAAAATACTATAATTTTATGTACATTTATTACATTTTACTGTGTTATTTGTATTTCCATTTATTTTATTATTAATTTTGATATTTCATTTATGGAAAAATGTCATAACTGAGATTAATATAAAAATAAGATCATATAAATTTCATAAGATGATACTGATACTTGTAGGTACCCTTCTCAGTTGATCAAATTAACTTCTCCATACGTGTTTCGCAAAAGTAAAGGCCTTAACAGCGGAGAACAATGCTTAACTCAGATAATGCAACTTAATTGTATTCTGGTTGGTCTTCCGTAGTTTATAATTACAGCCTGATTATAAACACAAAATTACATTTTTTAATTACTGCGGATCTTCTGATTCGTCAAAATGATACAATTTACAACACGCTAAAAAAAGATCTATCTCATAAGGAGAATTAAGGAAACCCGATGCGGCTTTGAACTAATTTTATAATATTTTAACAACTTAAATGTAAAAATCTATTATAATTAAGAAATAACAAATAATTGTATTAAAAATTCATTTTTCATCGAAAAATTTTTTTGCTTTCAGAAAATATTGTCCATATTCATAAAAACAACTAAAAACAAATAAAAGCATTTGAAATTAAATGACATATTTGTTTTATTGAGTTTTTTATGTTACAATTCAGAGCTGATTTTCAGGTAGAGGGGGCCAATTAAAGACAAAAAAAACATGATTTGTATTCCTCAAAGCCTTGTGCTTTTAACTATTGTAATCACTAAACCCGATGTGATCGAATTGCTAGAGTTTCCATAAAATTAGTTATGGAGGTAATAAATATATAAAAAAATCTGCTATGACTTTAATAAAAAAAACAACACATATTTATAATAATTTCAATCATTTGTGAATAGTTCCTGAAAGTTTCATTAACATCCGGCAATTATTTTTATTTTGGCAAGATTTTCCAAATTAATGTGTGTCAGACCAAAACAAACGTGCTAAAAATTGTCTATGTTATTTTACTACTTCCAGTGATACAAAGAGAAACAAGGTTTTTTTTAATCAAAATTTAGAATGTTCTAAAAAGAAGGAAAATTTAAAAAAAACTTTGGTCTTTCCTCTTAATAATAATATATACTTTTTAGCGATTTCGTGGAGTTACCTATGTTAATTAAGAAGACTTGTCTCACTAAAACCATTATTATCTAAAAAAAAAATCTTGGTTTTAAGTAACCTTCAAATGGTTGATAAATCGTACAAAACGAGTTAGTCAATCATAAAATTCCTATAAAAACCTCTTTACAATTCAGTGCCTTTAACTGGAATCGAACTGCTTTAAAGACCTGGATATAACGATCCAACGGGTAACGACGCCGAAGCATACCTTATGATCCCCTCTATGATGTTTCCGTTATTACTTCCGTTCAAGTAGTCTCGTCTTTATTGGTGATTGTGGGTGAATTATCGAAGTGAAGCGAGGCTTTTATATAAAGATCTTCTCAACGCGAATGTCTATTTTTACAAATGCGTGTTCCAGTGTTTCGATTAGATGTGAGCATGTTTATTCATTTACAGTTGAATGCGTATTGAGTATCGTTACTTGCTATGCTTTTAAATAATCACCAGCCTCCACCCAAGGTGTGAACGTTGATGCCTATGTGTGTATTAAACCGCCGGGTATGTGGATGTCGAAGTGGGAGGTGATGCTTCATTCCATTAAAATAAAAAAATAAAATAAAAAAAATATAGGAAAAGACATCGATCTTAATCGAGATGCTTTGTGTTTTATCGATTTCCTATTTATCACCGCATTTTCTCTTTCTTTCTTTCTTTCTTTCTTTCTTTCTTTCTGTTCATATATTATGAGTCTTCCTGTTTTTCTTCATTATATCCATATCATCATTTCTTTCTTTCTTTCTTTCTTTCTTTCTTTCTTTCTTTCTTTCTTTCTTTCTCATTCATTTTAGATTCTATATTTTCTTTTTCTTTCTTTCTTTCTTTATCATTCTTTTAGATTGTATATCTCCTTTCTTTCTTTCTTTTCGATTCGACTCTTTCTTTCTTTCTCATTCCTTTTATGTTCCATATTTTTTGCCTTTCTTTCTTTCTTTCTTTCTTTCTTTCTTTCTTTCTTTCTTTCTTTCTTTCTTTCTTTCTTTCTTTCTGTTAATATATTATGAGTCTTTCTGTTTTTCTTCATTATATCCATATCATCATTTCTTTCTTTCTTTCTTTCTTTCTTTCTTTCTTTCTTTCTTTCTTTCTTTCCTTCGCATTCATTTTAGATTCTATATTCTTTTTCTTTCTTTTTTTGTTTATCATTCTTTTAGATTGTATATTTTCTTTCTTTCTTTCTTTCTTTTCGATTCGATTCTTTCTTTCTTTCTCATTCCTTTTATGTTCCATATTTTTTGCCTTTCTTTTCTTTCTTTCTTTCTTTCTTTCTTTCTTTCTTTCTTTCTTTCTTTCTTTCTTTCTTTCTTTCTCCTTCATTTTAGATTCTGTATTTTCTTTGCCTTTCTTTATCATTGCTTTTAGATTATATATTTCTTTCTTTCTTTCTTTCTTTCTTTCTCATTCATTTTAGATTCTATATTTTCTTTTTTTCTTTCTTTCTTTATCATCCTTTTAGATTGTATATTTTCTTTCTTTCTTTTCGATTCGACTCTTTCTTTCTTTCTCATTCCTTTTATGTTCCATATTTTTTGCCTTTCTTTCTTTCTTTCTTTCTTTATTGTTTTCTTTCATTCTTTCTTTCTTTCTCCTTCATTTTAGATTCTGTATTATCTTTGCCTTTCTTTATCATTGCTTTTAGATTCTATATTTTCTTTCTTTCTTTCTTTCTTTCTTTCTTTCTTTCTTTCTTTCTTTCTTTCTTCTAAATATTTATCAATATTGTTTCACTTCTTTGTTTCAATTAAAATTGAAACTAGACAAAATAAAAATGCTTTGATATTCAAATTTTTGTAGTCGCGGTTTCAGTGTAGATTTCTTTCTCTATGTGTATGTCCGTTTTTGCGCGTGTGCTTTTGTGCTCTACGCCATTTTGTGACTTTTCCGATTGAGTTTATTGATTTTTCTGAAATTAATCAGATTCATCTTGATAGAATCAACCGATAGATGAATAATCGAACATCTAAACAAATAAACATTCCAGAAAACAAAACCCTATCAATCATGATATTTTGAATTTTCAATACTAATTGGCCCTTATTTTATTGTTGAGATATCTACGACCAAATATAAAAAGAAAACCCTTCACATTCCCCGACTTCCTTTGATGCTTTCTTTTCGTATGTATTAAAATCCAACCCCAGCAAGGGTTCCTATTAATTCTCTTTTGTTTTTTCAAATGAGCGTTTTCCTCTTATTCAGTTAACAACATCGTTCAAAGCTGAAAAAGCTATCATTCAGTTCGCATTAATCTTTCATGAATTTTGTCTCATTTTTTTTTTTTTGGTAGAGAGGGAAGGGTTCGCATTATTTACACTATTTACACTCAGACTATAGTCCCGGTCTGTGTTATTGTTATCACAACGTTTCAGTCGTTGTTTCCTTGTCCCTTCATCAGGTGATTGTCGATCCAGGGATTTCGAAATGAACCTTTTATTTAATCTACAATAGTAGATTGTTCTCATTCTGCTATCGATGCAAGGGATAATCAGAATTCCGACAACATTCTATCAGTTCGGTTCGTTAGAATTCTGAACATTATGATCGAGTTTGCCATTTTGGGTTAGTATATGAATTCCATCACAAAATGTGCCACATAATAAAACGGATTTATTGTTGGAAACGACATCAAACTAATATAATAGGAATATTTTTCAAGCCTTCAGAAAATCGAATCTAGTTTAAATGATAGAAAGAACTTTCTGAAACTTCTTTGTCGTTTAGTTTCTCTAAAATTTCAGTAAGGAACTCAGTCGAGATCTGTGTTGAATGGAACTGTATTTGGTGCAAATCCAAGAGTTTTTCAAGTCTTCACTCAACGAAACAGCATACACTTAAAAATACTAATTGCTATCCTTATAATTATAGAGTTTCATTCGTTATGAATTCTACTTTCCTAATTGTTCTTGTCTTTCTTGAAAGTGTCTACCGTATTATTTGAAGTAGTGTGGAATGTCAACATCTTGATTATGTCATTATTTTCTCTTCTCAAGCCCAGTAACTGTTATCACTCTTTCCAGTATTGATAGAGGTTTCCTTCCTAACCTTTTATTTGAAGTAGTGTGGAATGTCAACATCTTGATTATGTCATTATTTTCTCTTCTCAAGCCCAGTAGCTGTTATCACTCTTTCCAGTATTGATAGAGGTTTCCTTCCTAACCTTTTATTTGAAGTAGTGTGGAATGTCAACATCTCGATTATGTCATTATTTTCTCTTCTCACGACCAGTAGCTGTTATCACTCTTTCCAGTACTGCTTGAGAAGATAAAATAATGACATAATCAAGATGATGACATTCCATACTAGTTCAAATAAAAAGTTAAGAAGGAAACCTCTGTAAATACTGGAAAGTGCAATAACAACATCTGAACATCTAACCTATTTTCCTGAAAAATTGATTCAAGGGAAAGATTTTATAAATTTCAACCAAACGTAGTACTGACTGCTCGGTCAACGCCGTTCGAATGGTTCGTTTTTAGCAAACGACTAATATTCCTGTTACCGTTAAGTGTAAAATACTTTATTTTATATCTCAATATCTTTATGTCCCGCTCATTTCCGTTTTTGTTTTTGGATCACTTTTTTTATAATGTTCTCTCATCCATGTTGACTTAATTCCAAGTGTTATTCGTGACATTTCACTTCCCATTGATCTTAGTGAATTTCAAAGTTTGTTTTCAATCGATCTTCGGCGTTTTTCACGTCATCGCTGGCATTATACATTTATTATACACTTTACGTTTTAAGAATACTGGCAAGGGCCTTTTCATCCTATCTTTATTTTCGTTAAATGCTTTCCACCTTGTAGTTACACGTCTTTTGATTTTCGTTTTCTTTCTCTTTCTTTAATGTTATCAACTGTCTTCGGTAGATGTATTCCTGGACTTCAAGTGTTTCATCATCTTTTTTTACATCCTTTTTTTTCGGAACGTTACAAATGAACATTATTAGAGATCATAGAATAGAACTGCACAGACTCATTTTTAACTGTAAAATTGAAAGAGATAAAATTATCCTCAGATAGAAAAAATATACTATTAAAGTTGCTGAGAAATCAATGGCAGATGAATGAAATAATGAAAATTTGCTAATCTTAACGCCTTTAAAATAATACTCCTCTCCATTAATCATCTTAGCGATCCTTTCCGCTTTCCATCATCAAGGTTGATGATAAGCTGACTCATTGCTCCTTCTCATGCTAACTTTCTCTGCTGACATGTAGTGAAAAGATTATATTGAATCCATTGCTAGGTCTGCTGACATGAAAGATGATTCACTGTATCATGCTAGACAATTTTCTCGCCTGAATCTATCTAACATTCTCTGTCATTCGTCCATGCTGCGAATATTACTGCCACATATCGTCTGGTGCTCCTGATATTCATTTAAAGATTCTTGATAAAATGCAAAGAAGAATCTGCAATGATATTGGTCCTGACCTGGCAGTCATTTTCTCGCCGTAGCTTCTACGTGCATTTTCAATAAATATTTTCATAGTAATTGTTCCGATGGAATTTCCTCTATTGTATAATTGTAAATATTCATTGGGGTTTCATTTTTAAATGTTGTTATTTGTATCCTCCCTCCCGAAAAATTGTACAGATGGGAAGTACTTAGGCCTACGTAGAGATCTGAAGGTATTATGGTGACTGTATTCAGAATGGTAAGTAAGAATGTGTTGTTTTAGTGTAAACATTACTGTTAGGGTCAGTTATTGTGGTTAGCTAAATTTAAGATAAGGCATATTGAGGACCCTCTCCTTTCACTATTTTTGGCCTTGTGCCAAATTTTGTATTATTCAAAATAAATATTATTTTCTTTTATGATTCCTAGAATTTATGAATTTAAATGCTTTACGATATTGGCGGCAATGTTTTACAATTAAAATGGCTAGTTGTAATCGCATGTTCTTTACTAACATTTTCTTTTCTCGCACTTCTTGCTTGTGGAACTTTCTTCTGGCTTCTTACTTTCCAGTCAACTTTGATCTTCAAAACTTTAAATGCAATGCCAATCGCTATCTTCTGTCACCTCAGTTCATCTTATTTTATTGTTTTCGCTCGTTAATAATGTTTTCTGGTTCTTATTTTTTCACACTCACTCACTCACTCACTCACTCGCCCCTTGTGTCTTAGTGGCTTTATTGCCTTGGTCGAGATGAGATTATTAAAAAATAGATAGTGCCAATAGAAAAATGAGAATTATTATCAAACCAGCAGTTGAGATGTTATGGGGTCCTCCTCTTTTTCATATGGACTCAACCAGTATGTATTTGTACTGCTGTCGTTAAATACCCAGAGCTAGACAGTCAGTCAGAGATACAGAGAGATTGAGATTGAGTTGGAGGTAGAGTAATAGTGTGAGGTAACCGCTTGTAGAAGTCACAGTTACAAGAACGGCCGACTCTAAGGAAGTCCTACTTCGAGTGTATATATCTATATGTTATTGCTACTAACCGCGTTCCTGGATTTACTAACAGTATTACCCTTTGTATTATTGTGTAAATACATTTAATTTTTTGTCTTGCGTTTATCATTCATTGGAGACCGAATTTCCTCTCGGAATCTACAACATGAGATAGCGGGGAAAACAACAAGTAGTAATACTAGGAATGATGAAAAAGTAGGGAAATATTAGAGAGAAACAGAAAGCAAAAACGATCCATGAAAATGTAACTTTATAAAAATTTTAAAAATTTATATCGGTAGTACCAAGAATTCTTTCAAATCAAGTTGGTATCAACATATATCTTTTTCAACAACAACGCGTTCAGAAATATGACGTCTCTTTCTAAGTATTTTGGGTATTTAAAAGAACTCAATAAAACCCCTACGGTAAAATGGAAAATATTAAAAAAAATAGAACTTGTAAATCTTTACATGAACTGTGTTTCTTGTGTTTACAAGAAAAAATCTATATAATCAAGTTTACTAACAAAATGCTCTGTTAAACCAAAGAAGTGAATTAACGTTGAGATGCCGACACAGTCTATCATTTACCTTAATATATAGTTAAAAATTTTTTAATGAAAAACAATTGCGTATTACAATTTTATAACCATCATTTAATTTGGTTTATTCAAATTAATATTGCCATATTTTGCTGTTTATCCAGTATTACTACCATCGTATATAGACGTGACACATTTTTAATTTTATCTACAGGCTCCTTCAAGAAGCCTCCTGAATATATAAAGATATTTTTAAAAATGGTTTCTCGTAGCTTTACGTCTGATTAACACCCCCCTCACTTCAACAAACAAATAGAAACCTCATATTTGGCTACATCCATGATACATTTGTCGCTGACAGATACTCCGGTGACATGAAAAAATAACTCACCCACTTCCACCTTGTGACCTTATTTTTCTATTTAGTGTACATCTGACTTTCAATTGGTTAATCGAGACATATCCACAAGTATATTTTTAATTTTGACCTTATGTCCCCACCCCCGCACTTTAACTTTTGGAAAAGAGGTAACGTTTTGTTTTTAAATTTCTCTAAAAGTCATTTTTATCACCAGTTACAAGCCATCGCCTGAGAATACCCTATGGTACTGTGTCATAAATCGATGAACTTTTGTTTAAAATGAATGAAAAAGGAATGAATTTTTTGGTACTTGATAAATGTCATGCTAAACTGAACATTCGATTTTACCATATACGCAGTAGGGAAAAAAAAAAAAAAAATTCTGAAGCTTTGTTTTT